TGACATACAATAACTCTGACTTACCTGGGGCCAGGCAGTCCCCGATGATGATATCTTTTTTCTTTTTTTTTTTTCTTTTTTTTTTTTTCGATGATGATATCTCAAGGCTATCGCCCTTTTTTTCCCCTTGAAAAAAAAAAAAAAAAAAAACATCCTGTGCGCCCCGGCGCGAGGACGCCATTGGGTGTACCTGCCCTCGTCCCCCGAATAAAACGCACGGTTTTTTTTTGCGGTATGTATACAGCCTGAGATTTGTTCCAAATACAGCTATGATGATCGTGCGTTATATTCGAAGGGATAGACGACATCCTACGCGTTATATTCGAAGGCAGTTCAAGCACACGTCATTTGACACGTGGCTGGCTCGCCCTTGTTTCTTTTCTTTTCTTTTTTTTCTAATATTCTATTTAAAAATATATATATTGTTTCGACACGTGGCGCGTTCATAATAATAATCCACTTGAGAAAGGGGGGGGGAGGGCGGGGGGTGGCGGGGGAATACACTTTGAAAGAAAAACAATGCGCTAGAGAAGCCTTGGCTATTCATCGACTACGGCCTCTGCTGATTGACGCGGCCAGGTAGAAACCACACACCAAATGTGAAACCGACAAAAGCTATGGCGGGTGTATCTTTCCAATTTCCAGCGGAAGATACATTTGGTGGGCTGTGAATTACACGGATACCGTGAGTACAGTTGGTAGATCCTTATCTGTCAATCCACACTCCTCCCCTGCGATATCATCACCTTCTCTTCGTGATCATCTGCGATATCCTCTTCCTCTTCCTCCTCCTCCTCCTCCTCCGTCTCTTCCTCCTGGTCTTCTTCCTCTTCTCCCTACTCCCCCTCCTTTTCACCTTCCTCCTCTTCCTCTTCTTCCTCGGCCTCCGTCTTCGCCTCTTTCTCACTTTCCTCCTTCACTTCCTCCTCCTCTTCCTCTTCCTCCCCCACTCTCCGGCCCCTCCTCCTCTTCCTCCCCCCTCCTCCTCTTCCTTCTCTTCCTCTTCCTCTTCTTCCTCTTCCTCTTCTTCTTCCTCTTCCTCTTGCTCCACCTCGTCTTCCTCTTCCTCCTCTTCCTTCTCCTCCTCTTCCTCCTCTTCCTTCTCCTCCTCTTCCTCCTCTTCCTTCTCCTCCTCTTCCTCCTCTTCCTTCTCCTCCTCTGCCTCCCCCACGCCTTCGACCCCTCCTCCTCTTCCTCCGCCTCCTCCTCCTCTTCCTGCTCCTCTTCCTCCGCCGCCTCCTCTTTACTCCTCTTCTCTATCTTCCTCCTTTTCCTCCTCCTCTTCCTTCTCCTACTCTTCCTCCTCTTCCTTCCCCACTCCTCCGCCCCATCCTCTACTTCCTCTGCCTCCTCCTTCTCTCACTTGTCCTCTTCCTCCGCCTCCTCCTCTTTCTCCTCCTCCGCCTCTTTCTCCTCTTCCTCCTCTTCTCTCTCTCTTCGTACTCCTCCTCCTCCTCCCCCTCTTCTTCCTCCTCTTCCTCCTTCCCTTCATTATCTTCCTCCCCCATTCCTCCTCCTGTTCCTTCGCCGCCTCATTGAGATAAGCATGTCAGATTTATTTTTGGGAAAACATTAAAAAAACGAAGTTCCCTTTAGGAAACCAAAAAAATAAGGTTCAGGACGACACGAGCACTTACGGCTTGACACGTGGACCATCCACCTAGCGATAGAACCCTTTTAGCTGCCACGTGGCACCAAGCCTTTGAATTGAACTCTCCTGCTTGGCGGGAAACTGTCTGTGTACATTGAATTTTCGTGCGAGGCCAGCACTCCGTACACGTGACAAACAAGCACTCTGTACACGTGACAAATACCGGGCCCTGTTCCAGGGCAAATCTGTGATTTGCCAAAAACGGAAATTATCCCACCGCAGAAGAGTGCCCTTTGACCCATCTATCTATCAGCGAACGGGCTTGGGATATCGGGCCTCGCCACAGCACTGTCGAAACGAAAAAAGAAAAAGAACGGATGCATCTACCGCAGAAAGCGGTCAGATGCGTCCGTTGCTATTCATAGCAACGGATGCATCTGGCCATTCCAGGAGGGCAGATCCACTCGTACTTCTTTCGTTTCGACAGTTGTGTGGCGAGGCCCATCTTCACATCGATCGGACATGCTATAGGTCACACACATTCAGAATGAATGATTTTATTTCATTCATCAAGGTGGTCACATTCATCAAGGTGTAGCGGGGTTTGAACTCAGGCCAGGTTAAATAATAATAATAATAATAATAATAATAATAATAATAAAAAAATTAAATTTTAAAATAAAATAAATAAAATAAGACTCAAGTCAGGCCTCTGGATCCCCCCGATCGGCCTTGAACAGAATCCGCTGATGTTCGTAGGGCAGCGGACCTGGGGCGTGGTCCCACTAGTAGCAAAGAGGATCGGATCGAATGCCAGAATCTGGACGAGTTTATGGAGATGTGCAGGAAATCGAGATTGGACTGCGTTTCTGCATCTCTGCTTAAAACACATCCAGATTCAGGAGCTCGATCCTATCCTTTTTGCTACTAGTGGGACCTCGGCCCTGAGGGGGGGTAAAGCGATTGGTCTTGTTGGCAGGCCTACGTTCTGTCCCTTACGGCCGGTATTGCCTACGTGCAGGCCGGGAGCAGCCCTCGGATGGTTTTTTTTTTTTCCTTTTTTCTTCTGGTCTGGGATAAGAAAGCTTTTTATTTCATCGGAACACGAGGGCCGGGAATCCCCCACAAGCCCCCGCAAGTTCTCTTGTGAACATGGTTCTTTTTTTTTTGTGTGTGGGAGGTGAGCACAGTTCTGGCTGCTGCTGGGTGGCCGTACGACTATAATAATTATTAGTAGTGGTAGGGGGTGGTATAGGTAGTGTGAGGTCAAATTGGGAGAAGGCAGTAGGATCAGGGGCCAAGTCCCACTGATGTGAAATCTCAACTTCTGAGCGTAGATTCGAAAGATCAACGGCCCGAAAAGAAGAATCAGCGTAAGTGGGACCTGGCCCCAGGTCTGGGGCGAGGTCCCATTAGCAGTCGGATAGGAGTGTGGCCGATCCAGTGCGACACTGAGTGGCAGCGGCCAGACACGTTCATTACGAATTTATGGGCTGAGAAAACAGGAAAAAGGCCAAAAAAAAAAAAGAAACAGAGACCTCCCACTGGAAATCAGGGCAGAGTGCCTCCCAGCCATCAGATCACAAACGATCTGACGGTGGTGGTTGCAAAAACAGTGAACAAAGTAACCGCCACATTTTTTTGGAATAAAACAGACTTCTGTCAGCAGTGATCCTGACACCCTCCATATACTCCGTGATTGAAGGAGGGCTCCACCCAATGAGATAATTTCACAACAGCAAGTAAAATGCTGAAAATCTTCTATCCAGTGGGCTAAGGCCGACCCCAACCTCGTTTGGGGTTGGCCACACCCCCAACCGATCGAAAAGATTCTGGCGGGAAGCTGTCTTTGCACGGACATGCCCAGT